GCACAGAAACAGTACTATATAACATTTTAGACACATTCTAGACAGTTTATCAGCTAAAAAAAGTTAATTTTGGGGTAAGTTACTCTTTAAAGACAAAGGAGCCCTGCAACGGAAATTACTCTACTAACTGCTGGAAAGAAGGTCTGCACGGCTACTTGTTTTAAATTTTAATCTGCTGTCCACATTGAACATTTCCTGAGTGTTTCGTATAAATCCATTTGGTACTTTTTGAGATATAAGCCCAAGAAGGCAAAGGGATTTTTTGTCCAAAGTCATGCTGCAGATCAAGCCCTATAGGCTGAGAACAGGTTGAGAGCTGGCCGGGCGGAGCACAAGCGATGATCTGATGTTTTCTCTTTTTCCTCCTGGACAACAGAAGAGGAGACGGGAGGGAGGAGTAGACTAATCCCCATCGCAGAGCTCCTTTGTCTTAAAGTACGAAAAAATAAAATCCACCTCGGATTTCGATGAACCTTCAGGAAGCTATGGCTGATAGAAATATGAACCAAATGGCACGGCTGGTTTAATAGTTGGATTTTGGTTGGCTAAGATTAAATATATTCCCCTCTCCCATCGTCAAACAGAAATAAAAACACACTATAGTTTCAGGGAATGTTAATCGCACCAGAGAACAGCTGAATAAAGTTTGAAACAGGTCTGAGCAGACCCGGAAAACTCAGCTGTTTGTCTGTTAGCAGCAACGTTCGGAGCGAGCTCCGGGTACAGCTTCAATCTCCATGCCGCAGATCGAGTGCCTCCTCCAGGTCAAAGCGAGTCAGGCAGACCGCCTGGGCTTCACGTCCCGGGGGAGAAGCCAAACCCTCTAAGCCTGAATGTATATTTTCTGACTGCATATTATCAGGCATACAAATGATTGATAAGTGCCTTCCAACCTACTAGATGTTAAAGGATGGACAGTCTGCAGACAGTTTGGAACTGAGAACTTCAAATAATAAGTATTTATTGAACTGATAACATTCCATTACAAGCAGGAAGTTCCTGAATGCAACAGCTTGTCCCGTGTTGAGCTGTCAGTCATGATTCGGCACCGCCTGTTATCCGAGGCCCCGCCCCCCCACGCTAAATCGCGTCATAAATTTAAAACTAAAAAACAAAAAATCCTTTGAAACTGAAAAAGAATAATTTAAAACTGAAAAAATAATTTGGAACTGAAA